CACACACACACACACACACACACACACACACACACACACACACACACACTACGGATGGACAAGAAAGAGGAAGATACAGCAGAGAGGGTTAAATAAGAACGGCCCTCTCTAGCAGAAGGGAGGAGTCGTGTCTGTGGGATAGATGTCAGCGGTGATGGAGCGCAGAGTCTCTTCGAGTCTCCGGTCGTGTTAGAGGGATTTAAAAAGAGGAGCGGGGGGGCTCCAGACAGGCCCTCCAGAGAACCGTCTCCAATGCACACACACACAACCCACTTCCTGTCCCACGGAAGCCCGATTCGTCAAATGCCGACTCAGAATGTGTGTGCATGCGATCGAGATGCGCGCTTATGCTACACAGAAACAAACTCACACACACACACATATACAGATCACCTGTTGGTCTTGGCGTACGACCAATCTGAAGCTGTACAGGAAATGAGCACATGGGTCAGATATGAAGTGCTCTCTCTCTCTCTCTCTCTCTCTATCACAGTGCAACGTGGTGTCAAAACTTGCAACATTTAGACAAAGAAGGGTATTCATGAAGCAGAAGAAAAAACGCAAATTTTTAAATAGAAATGATTGACGAGATTATCGGGCCATGTTCTGATCCAACAGAGAAATGTAGACAAGCATCTGAGACCAACACGGTCAGTATCCACCACACACACACCAAACAGATCCAAAAATCATCTAGATTTGGCTTAGAATAACTACAGAAAGTAAGACGTGAACAAAGTAACATAAGTACAGCAAACACGTCTCATGACATCGCTAACACAACTTTGGGACACGAACACCGGTCTCCTGAATGAAAGTCCTGTGTTTGTTTGACACACAAGCTCTGAGTGGGTTTTTTCAGTCTTTATAGTACATCATCACACTCCCTGAGCATTTCTTCTGAGCCTCTAATAATGACGCGGATGGGTTTACATTGTAGTTACTTGAAGGTCCGGTTCGTCTCATACAGACGCTAATGGATGCTTTGTGCGTCGATATCAGACGCAGAGAGGCGTGACAAAGTGTTGCTGTTTTCCAGACTGGAATATGAGGTACTGTGTGTGTGTGTGTGTGTGTGTGTGGACAGAGACAGGATTTACAGTGGAAACACTCTGAGCTCAGACATCTAGCAGATGAGGCAGATGTTTACATTCTGACTTCATCCATGAAGTGACTCCCTGATTATGATATAATTTGGGAAGTCCAACAGGTTCCAAAACAAAGAACAAGCAACCACTCATTGCTAATTCATTTGACGTGCAACAACTGTTTCTCCGCTGCTGGTGATAATTCTGTTGTCATCACTGCTCCATTCCCAGAGCTCGGTGACAGATTTCTGGTTTAATCCATTTTGGGTCATTGTAGAAATTCCCCACTGTGGCAAATGCTGCTGATTAGTGATCTTCATCACTCACAGAAACACAGACGTTGCAAGCGCTCGCCAACAAAACAGAGGTAATCAAACTTCCAAATCCGCTTAGACGACATTTAACAATCCTTGTGAGGAAGTCAAGTCACGGCAGAAAAGTACCAGAATTCAGTGAGAGAAAATAAAATGTCAGCATTAAAAAAAGTAAACTGAAATTCTGGGTTTTCAAAATAGACTGTATATAAGAAGTGGATGTAGTCACAGTGGTCTCAATACTACTGTTTTGAAGCCTCTAGTTCCACATTTTGGTTGTTGCTATCTTGGTATTTTGCAACCAGAAGTGACATGAGAGGATGGAGCTAAGTACAACTGAACACTGACGAAGACAATTTTAGGCGACCAAAATGTTTTTTCATGAAGATTGAACATACTGTGAAGGGTTTAAAGTTTAAAAAAGGAAACACTTACAACTCACAAACCAGACATACTCTGCTTTATGGTCTATTTGACTCTAAATGGACCATAATGTACTAAATGAACATCATGCTGTATTGAAGAAGACTTGAAACTAGAGATTGAGACCATAAACTCATGTTTACAATGTTTACTGAGGTAATAAATCAAGAGAGAAGTAGAGTCATTTTCTCATAGACTTCTATACAACCAGACTTCTTTTACCAACCAAAGGAGTCGCTCCCGAATGGCCATTAGAGAGAAGGCAGATTTAAAGGACTTATTAATTGGCTTCACTTTTCAGACCAGGAGGTTACTGCCTGGTTTTAAATGGTTGGAGTGATACAATTTGAAATTTAAAGACATCGTTTTTTTGACCCTGGGAAACTGCAATGTACATTTTTTACCAAACGTATAATGGAAAAGATAATTCCCTATATCATCCGCAACGGAAATAATATTTTAGCCTTAAATGCAAACATCAATTTCAAGATTTTGCTCTTGTCATGTAAAAAATAAGAAACCTCATCGTTCAGCATGATTTAACTGCAGTTGAAGGATTTTCATACTGTGTGTTGAGAAACTTCCACCACTATACTCCACTGCTTCTGAAAGATGCTACTGTGGTGTTTAAGTTGCTATTTGTACCAGCAGGCTTACTGCATGTGTAATCAATGTGCTCACACTGGTTCAACTGGTGCGTTTAAAACCAGCGACTAGAGATCGACTGGTTCACATTTCAAGTGAAAAGTATTCATATGTATAATTATAACATGGAGAAGTTATGTTCAGAGGTTATCTTTTAATCTTGGGCCCGGCTGAATAACTCAAAGTAGCGAGTGGGGCGTATGTATTGTTCTAAACAACACATCTTTATGTCTTCAAAGGCACATTTCCGGCCATGGCTGTTTAGTGAGAAATTGATTTGTTGTATTTTCTCATGTGAGCCCAGGGGGGCAAGCTCACACTGCCTTGAACTCCGCGTGTCACCAGAGCATCACGGCCGCGTGAATGCGTCCGCTTGTGTCTCCCGAGGCAGCAGAGAGAAATAGGAAGTACAGCTGAGAACGATTTGAAACAGAGCCGACCTCTGTTTTCACTTCCTCCCCCCCCCCCTCTTCGTCTTCATCCGCTGCTCTCTGTAACAGCGTCGGAGAGAGAGTATGTATGTTTGTCACCTGCAACAGGGGTTTCCCACAATGCAAACACAATACATGGGTTTTTTTCCGAACTTCTCACAGGAAACAAGGTCACGACAACGGTTCTCAAACAGACCCACGGTAATGGTGTATTTATCGAGAAAACAGGAAAGAGAGCGTGTGTCTGCGCCCCTGTGTGTGTGTGTGCGTGCTCACTGGAAGACTGCCCACTGGGCATTCCTGTACCTGTCTGAGGATACAACCCCTTGCCTCCACCCCTCCCCCTATCCTCCCTCCACCTGCTCTGCTCCGTGGCCCCCGGGTCCTTGGGGACCGGCCAGACTTCGACAAAGACAACCCCTTCCAACACAAGCCCCTAAACCTCAACACACACACACACACACACACACACACACACACACACACACCTTCTCTCCCTCTCCTCTCTAACTGTCTTCCTCCCTTTCACTCTCGCTCTCCCACAATAGCCTATCCAACCATCCCCAGGGAAACGCATGAATATGGAGGAGGCTGCCCAAGAAGCACATGACACACACACACACACACACACTCTATATCTCACTCTCCCCTTTCACTCATTTATTTATACATGGATACCTGGATTGGAGGCTGCCGGCACTCCCATCCTCCGCCCCCTTACACTCCTCTCCTCCGATGCTCTCTGGATGACTGCTTGTGCAAATGTGGACACTAAATTACGCAAAGCAAACCTCGCCACACATTGGAGAGCAAAAGAAAAAGCAAAAAAAAAAAAACACGGGGGGCGACACAATGGACTGATATGTTTCGGAGAAGCGTTGCCGGCTTCTGTTGCGCTGCAGATGTCCACACAGCGCGCGCGTGTGTGTGTGTGTTGTGCCAATACAGAATGCACATTCTTCCTGAACGCGGCCAAAAACCCGGCGTGTAACTCAAGAAGACTACAGACTGTCTTTGTTTTTCACAGACAAACATGCAAGACTGTGTTCCTGTTGACAATGGCCCGACCCTCCCTTCTGGAACCAGCTGTTCTGTCCACTGTGCAGAAAACACGTGCGTGCATACAGTACAAACACGCGGCGGAAGGATTAATACTCACTGACGTGCACACATACTTTTTTTTTGTTTTTCACACGCACACGAGAGCAGTTTCCACACAGCACAGTCTGCACTTTTGCACACGGAGAGGTGAGTGTGTGGGGCAGGCCCTGGCAGGGCATTGCTGAAGCCCCGGCTGGTGATTTCTCTCCATAGTGAAAGCTTGGGCAGTGAAAGGTTGGGCCCTGCCAACCTCTGTTCTCCTCTGACCACCCGTTGCCCACGTGTGGCACTCAGGGGCATGCCTGTCCCTTTCAATAACCTGCACTGAAACCCGAGTCCTCCACTGAGTCTCTCTTACTGTGTGTGTGTGTGTGTCTTCCCTGGAACACAGCAACTTCTACTTGTACTTCCACTGAACAAGCGCAGCCTGAGACAAGAGTCTTCACCACAGTGTGTTGCACAGTGAAACCACAATAGCTCATTTAGTTTCATTACTGTAGCTGTTCACACGGCCAGCAATGCACAAACAAACAATGCAACGTCTTGTACACAACGTTCAGCCTCGTGAGTTGGACCGGTTGGGGCCTCGGCCTTGTTAATGTTGCTGCATCATTAGCAGGATCCTCCGGGAGTCCTGGAATACTTTCCCCGCGAGTTAGTCTAAATAACAGTCCTACGGGCATTAACTTGAGTCTGGCCAGGCTAATGGCAGTGACTGTTCCGGGTTTTATGGGCGGCGGGGGAAGGAAGAGGGCACAGGACCAAGCCAAGCGCTTCTCCACGCGTCAGATTTCCTGTTCCTGATCAGGATAGTTTAAGCTGTCGTCCACTGGAGAGGGGACGACTTTTACATTCGACACAGATGGACTGGCACCACAGGAGTTGCGATGTCTGGGCATTAAGTGTGTCTGAGCCATATGCATTCAGGCATATAGATCACTCCCACGCACAGATACACACCCAAAACATTGGTGCACACAGAAATGCACAATGCCAGGTTTCATACTGGGTTTGTATGCACACGATGCTCTCATCCAGGGTGACTAATAGTGGGAAATGTAAAGGAAACCATTTTAAACCTCTGTACTCTGAACTCTGACTATTTAAAGGGCCAGTGTGTGGGATTTGGGGGGGTTATTGGCAGAAATGGAATATAAAAAGATTAGAGATTTTGGTAGCTTAAAATGAACCCCTAATATCTGCATAGCCTGTCTGCCATGTTGCACTGTCATGTTTCTACAGTAGGGACAAACCAAACACTGGCTCTAGAGAGAGACTTGTTTTTGTGTTACCTGAAGGCCACCGTAGTTCTCTACATGCTCGGAAAAGGAGGGGTGAGCGGAGGGGTATTCAGTTGGATGCAATCTGCAACCTTTAACTAAATGACCATTGTACTCATTCAATTCTCACATTTTATGCAAACTTTCTAAAACCTTCAGATTGTTAAGTTCAAATAGTATTATTTTTTATTATTAGACATTTTCTTTATATTTTAAGACCCAAAATCTCAACGGCTTGATCAACAATGGCTAGTGGCAAAGGTGACTCTTGGCAGCCCAGACTGGAACTATACAACACGGGGGACTTCATCTTTAAATGAAATCCCCAAATAGAGACCAGCATACAAACTTATTCTCTGAATATTTTTCTCAAAAATAACTTTATATTGACAGTGACATTTTACACTGTCTTTTAGTAGTGTTTTCTTCTATAAGGTTGGTGAGTAACCACAAGATGCCATAAAGCATTTGTTTAAATAAATAGCTATGTAGTAATGTAACTATTTACTACTTGGGTAAGTGATAGTGTGTAGGAAACAACACTAACAGCACTAACAATACAGTAACAGTCGACCAAATTGAAACTCCCATGTCACCAAACAGCTGCCAACTGTAAGGAGTGTTAGGATCAAGACTATACTTCCCAAACATGTTCCCATGACAAAACAGAACATAAATAACAGAGATATGAGGATTTCTAGAGCTGTGAGGGTCAGTAGAGGAGAAAAGGTCAGCACAGTGACTCGACATTTCCCAAAAAAACACACACACACACACACACACACACACAGGTGCACAGATCCTGATACTCACTCTTGTACGGCGCGGGCTATAGACAGCGCAGTGGAGCCGGTCTCATTAACACTGTCCAAGGTCACGTTTGGCAGGTCATCGTCGTCGCTGTCGCTCTTGATCTGCCTTGGCGACAGGCCGCTGTGGTCCGTGTATGCTGTGAGGACGGGACACAGGAGTCAGTGGGTACAGCTCTACATGTGTTATTGAGTGTGTGTGTGTGTGTGTGTGTGTGTGTGTGAGTGCCACTCCGCTCTCTGTTCCCCCTACATGTGCAACTGACAGAGAATGGTATTCGTGGTAATGACAAACTTTCACATAAAAGGCCCGGAGACGACACAAAAGTCTGAATCCACCCGTTTCACTGCTGCACCCTTCTTCACAGAACATCCTGCTGATTAGCAAGCTCTGATTCTTCTCTTTTGCGCAGTGACCACGAAGGGAAAAATAAAGAAAAAAACATGCAACATTTGACTGGCTAGCATGCTATTAGCCGTGAGCCTCTGAGCGCTGGGGGTGTCTGTCTCTTGAGCCGCATGACAAAGTAACATCTATTCCGCAAGTTGTGACAACTTCTCCCCTGGACAACTCATTGGATATATTGCCAGAGCCCGCGGGCCATTCTGTCCTCTCCGTCTCCATGGACACAGGCCGCGCACATCCTGGAGAACTCAAGAGATGAATGTAAAAAAAACAAAAACCTGTCGGAGACTACTTGTCAAGGAAAAGTTGCTGGAAATCCACTGGATTAAATTTGGGAACTGCAACTGCAAGATATCACTAATAACTATTCTTGCTGTTATCCTCACAAATGCTGAATATACATTGTGATACATTTTTCCAACATCCCCACTCACTGTAAGCCCGGCGCTTTTATAAAAGCTATCAGGACTTCACCTCCCCTGCCCTCTCGGCCCATAATGAGGGTCTAGAGTTGGGTGCGGACACGGTGTTATTACTGGGGGTGTGGGGGTGTGTGTGTGTGTGTGTGTGGGGGGGGGGGGGTGTTGACTAAGACATGCAGAGCGGTCACCCCAGACTCGCCTGCTCTATGGAAAACCTGTAATTAGTCAGAAATGCTTCGTGCGATGGAAAAGGGGGGTATTTTGAGCGAGGGACACAAAGGAGGAGTGGTGGAGAGGTGGGCAGAGCACCGGATTTCTTTCTTTCTCTCCTGTTGTATCCAGTCAAGCCCTGTTTCCATGGCAACCTCCTGCCGGAGACAGGGAGACAGCAGTGAAAGGAAGGGTACCCGCCCTCTCTTAAAGAGGATGGCCAAACCTGTGTGTGCATGTGGGTGAGTGGGAGTGTGTGAGTGTGTGTGTGCGAGTGTTTTAGTATCCATGTTGAAAGCTTCATGATTGAGACTTGCTTCAGTGCACATGATTGTTCAGTTTGTATCAAGGTGAACAAGATGGGCTCTTGACCCTGACGTCTGACTTCATATGGAGGGGGAGTTGGCTAGATAGAGACCCTCCTGATGTCAACAACTCATTTCCTCCCCAAGCCACCAAACAATAGTGAAACCTAAAAAAGAAAAAACTCCAGATAAAATGGACCCCCCCCCCCCCCCCCCCAAAAAAGAATCCATTCGCATACAAACCAAAATATGATATTTTGTGGCACATTTTTCATTGGACTTAGGCTGTGGGAATTCCTACGCAAACGGTCTCATTAAGTCCGATTAAGTGCAATAAATAGCCAAATGTTCTGTTTGTCTACTGGTTGCGATCTCATTAAAAGTGACTGTATCCACCACACCCAACATTCAAACACTCCGTTCAGCCCGTTTCCTCAGTGCTTTGAGCTTTCAGAGGCGGGCAGAGCTGATGTCGGACTGTGCGTGTGTTTGCGTAGGTGCCACCCATCTTCAATATCCATCCACACCCTCTTATGCAAGCCTTGTTTTTCCTGTCCGTCCTTCTTCCCTCTTCTCTCCTCGGGAGCAGACACGAAACGCCTCGTCTCTAAGGGGACCACCCCACCCAGGCCGACCAAGTGTCTCTCTGACTTCATGCTCTAATTACACATGTTTGCTGCTTGTACGTACAGTACACACACACACACACACACACACAAGTGAGTCCGAGTGTGTCCGTCCATCCTGCAGGGAGTGACATGAAGCAACCTCTTTTTTTCTTTACAACCAACAGTTGGCCTGTGTGCAGCTCAGAGTTGGACAGAAACTCCCACTGTGGGCTCACTCCCAGTGGTTGGCAGTAAAACCACACCCAGGGAGAAAAGCAATAACACGGTCGAGGCCAGGCCGGCGTAGGTCTACAGTATGGCTCGATCTGTAGGATGTTTGCGTTTCGATAGAGAGAAAGAAAGAAAGGCAACGGCCGGCGTGGCCCTGGTTACCTGCACCAGAGGCATAAAGATAAAGATGGGAGAGTCTTCTCAACCTGTAAACCTCATCTTCACTCTGACGGGGGGGTAACATCACCGCCTGAGGGGCCGCCTCTAAAAGAATGTACACACAGTCTGCTTTCACAGAGGTGTGTCTGCAAGTTCTTTAACTAAGGAGGTCTGGGCAGACAAATATAAAACTCCTGTCATTGGGAAATCTTAGGCTTCCATCACATCACCGCTTCTTTACAAGCCTGATGCCAGCATGCTGTCTTTGTCCTCCCTTGTTTTTGAGCTGGACTATGTTTTATTCCACCTCTAAAAAGGTTTCCAGTGTATTTTCGGGGGTGTTTCATGACCTTGGGAGGATGTTAATTTACCCGTAGCAAGAATATACTTGAAGTGTATTGCAAAGGTTGATAATTGAGCATTATAAGTATTCAACAGTATTGATTTAGGTGAATAATATTTGTCTAATTTCTCAGTTGGTGGAGAAAAACTTGTCCATTAAAGTTGGAGACTTACTATGTACAACTAATATAATCACGAGGCAAAAAGCTCAACGCCTCGATCCTAATGCATCATTTCCTTGCAGTTGCTGGAGCACCTATGACATTACAGCATTAACTGAATGAGTAAAGAGGTTTCATCAAAATCCCAAAAGACCACAGTCAGCCGTATGAATATGGAGTAAATTCCGAGAGCGTGGTCTGCCTCACCTTTGCCTTGGCTTTTCACCTCGTCCAGCAGAGGTAGCATGATGGCGTTGTTGAGGCTGGAGGGTGATCGAACGGCGGTGGTGTACATGAGGGGCAGCGACTGCACCACGACCGGGATGCGGTGGACATGGCTGCCCAGCTTCCCCGCTCCATGCAGGCTCAGGGGGTTGGAAAGAGGCGGCGGCACAGAGTGCAGGATGTGCAAATACGGCTGACCTCTCACCCCGCCTCCGGGGCCCGGTGTGAGCACCGATGAGGCTGAGGTGATGACCGATGGCGAAGAGGAGGAGGAGGAGGAAGAGGATGACGACGATAAAGATGACGGCGAGAAGGCGTATCGGAGGGGGGAGGATGACGAGGCGGTGGTAGGGGTGGTGGACAAAGAGGTGGGGCGGGGCTTGTTGATAGACAGGTCGACGGGCTCGGTCTGCGTGTGGAAGTGCAGGTCGTGGGCGAGCAGGTCTTCTGGGGGCTCCGCTTTGACTCTGCTGAGGAAGAAGGGCACGCCATCCATCGCAGAGTAAGGCCGCACTTTAGGTGACTGTGGGAGCAGAAGAAGCAGAGATGTTAGATTGTTTTGATTCATTCCTGGTATTAATGCCACACACAACCACGAAGAAAGAAATAAGTAAAACAATCTGTCATCAATTAATGTACTCATGGCACGACATTTTATATCACTACTCTTGTCATTATTATTCCGTCTACAATCGGCCGAGCCACAAAATGTTGATGAGTTCAGGTGATTGTTTTTTGTGCTCAGCAACAACACAGCATGATGGAGACGTGTCAGAAAGGTATACGCAGTGACAGTTACTGGGAAAGGAGCAATTAATTTCCTCCTGTTCATTCAAGCATTCAACTCCTCCTTGGTTAGCATGATGTCATAGACAGATGAAACGCAGGAGCAGATAGTGTCTCTCACACTCACCTCCTCTCATGTCTTTCTTCTCTCTTGGTGTGGGTGCCTCTCTCTGTCTCTCTCTCTCTGTCTGTCTCTCTCTCTGTCTCTCTCTCTCTGTCTCTCTTCCTCCTGTTTTCCATCACTCCCACAGAAAAGCAGCTCTCTTGGCTCCCCTCGTATCTCTCCTAAATCTCCTTTGTGACGGTGGAAAAACATTCATATGGGCTCAATTTCCTGACCGGCTCTCTCTGTCTCCGTCTCTCAGCGATGGTCCTTCTAAGGCCAAACGCTGGTGGCTCAGCGCATCTCTCCACACATCGTTCACTTAACACCGGAGCAGACTGTAACACGAGCGCTCTGTCTGTCCGGGCGAGTTTTAGGGAACCTGTTTACTTTGGGAAAAAAAGATAATGACGAAGATGTGCGGTAGAGAGGGCGACACTCACTTTGCTGCAGGTTATTTGTGTCTCCGGGCTCCTCGCGTCTTTTGTTAAAATGTGATGTAGCTGAATGTAGACTCACTATGTTCGAGTGTGGGAGGGGTGCTCGAGCGTGTGGTGTTGATCCTCAAACTTCAGAGGCTGAGTCACATTTAGGGCCATCGGGGAGTGAGTACATTCAGGATTGTTTTACTAATCATACAGGAAAAAGCTCGTTAAAGTAGAGGGGAAAACTTAAAAACTCGAGCTCCAATCGCAGCTGCTGCAGATATGAAAAACACTCTGTACTGTGGATTCTCATCCTCACTTTTGTTTTGGAGACTGACATTTCTTTCCCCTTATGTAATGCTGGCTGAGAGTGGATGTGTGGTGAATTACGAATTATTCTGAGTGGTGTGTGTGCGTGTGTGTTCTTTTATGTAGTAGCCTGCTATTTTTACTTCAGACTTGTATACTCGTCTTCGGCCTACAGTCGGTGTTATGACCCCATGAATTAAGAAGCACTTCTCCCTGTGTAACTCCTCCTCAGTTGGAAAACAAAGCCTACCCCATGAATGGCCTCTGATGACCTCTGATGACCTCTGGACCCTGTAGGGGTTCAGCTCAGGGTCAGTGGTGTCAAGGTCAGGGTTCACAGCACATTATGGCCTGCTTCATAATACCACCCACCAAGCCATTTACTGTGTTTTTACACAATTTTATGTAAAAAATATGTTGCTGTTTTTTTTTTTTGGGGGGGGGGGGGGGGGGGGGGTGGGGGGGGGGGGCATTATATTAAGGCTTTTTTTTTTACATATCATGTGAATATAAACAGCCATAGGCATGACAACTGAAATACGCTTATTACCAAGTGTTTACAACAGTTTGTATGATTTCTCACGAAAAGTTAACGCAAATTTTTTATGCGTTTTCCTACGAAAGATTTACGCTTGTTACATGCATGAATAAACTTATGTCTTCACAGGAAACAACTCAGTTGGGTTTAGGCAACAATACTACTTGGTTAGGTTTAGGAAAATATCATGAAATACTTGGTTAGGTTGAGGCAACAAAGCTACTTAGTTAAGTAAAAGATTGTTGTTTTGGTTAATTACTACGGAAGTGCGGTTTCTGAAATATATTACCTACGTGCAAATACTTCTCATTGCCGACAGGGAGCGAACAGCGGTCTCCTGGGTGAATGATCGGTGTTTATTGGACCCATCCACCTCCACTCCCTACCGCCATGCATGGGTTTATTTTGTGATCTTTATACTTCTGCAATCCTGATTACATGGATAACAAACAATTTCAAACTATACCTACATATTCTTTTGTAGGTATTGCTAATAACACTGGATGACACCAGCTGGACAAATTGGATGAGTTGAAATCATCATGCTTGCTTTGCAGAAACTTCTAAAAAAATGTAGTATTTATAACTAATAGTTCAATAGTTATAGTTGGCTGACAAAAATAGAATGCGATTTCTTCTGGGAGACCTAACCTCCTTTTATAAAGACATACACAATTATTAAATAAGTCAACAATATAGTATTTGTAAATTAGTATACTAAAAGCAGCTGTAGCCATGGAGCTAATGAATGAGCCACTGATGGTGAAGCAGGAATGAAGTAGATGATGCCAATCAGCTGATGCAAGCTCTTCTTTATTATTCCTAACGCCATGCTCCACATTCCAGTTGCAAATGTCGGCTGTGGGGTTGTTTTGCCCACTCATAATGCTAATATATTCCTGGGGTGATTGTGAAGTTATCACTCTGATGGGTGGAGAATCAGGTGACTCTGAGTTTGCAGAGAAAGAATTAGTTGTGCTCATTGTTGTTATACTGACAATATTCATAAGCTCAAAAATGCATACATTTCAGTCACAGCTGACCCTCGTCAGCATAGAACACTTTACTTTAAGCCCCTCTATTTAGCATCTATGAGAAGTACAGCATGCATTTAAAGGAACAGTGTGTAGCATTTAGGGGAAACTATTGGCAGAAATGGAATATGATATTAATAAGTATATTTTCTTTAGCATATATCCACCTGAAAATGTTCTTTACCTTAGAATGAGCTGTTTATATCTACATACGAGCCGTTGGCCATGTTTCTACAGTAGCCCAAAACGGACAAACCTAACACTGGCTCTAGAAACATGGGCCACCTCAGTCCTCCTACACGCTTGGCACACGGGAGGAGTTGAAGTTGAACCTCCCAGCTAGATGCTGCCAAATCTTACACACTGCGCCTTTATTGAATGATTTATAACCATTATAAAACATATTAAGTAACGTGTCACAGCAAAGTTATCTAGTCTAGTCTCTCTCTCTTTTCTGCTATTTTCTCCTTCATTTGAGGGACGACAATGTAGAAAAGGGGGAGAGAGAGGTGTGGCATGCAACAAAGGTCCCATGGACGGAATCAAACCTAGGACACTGCGGTTATATGGCATGTAATGTAAAACGCTCTAAGTTTAGTCTCTCTCCACCAAAAGATCCCTCCCGTGGGCTATCTAAGTTTTCATTCGATTTCATTCCAGCTAGTAAACCTGCCATTTAACTATCTATCCAATTTGCCACTCCACGGCTTTACCTTCAGAAACATTTCAAATGAAATATCACTTGGTGTATAATATGCATGTTTGTGGTGTCAAATGTCCTCAGTGCTTCTCTTGCATCAACTCCCACATCAGCGCCATGCAGCCTTTCTTGACAGACCCTCAGGCTATCATCCAGCTGCTTTTGCACGGGATCTCTCCGTGTTTGCATGTTCTGTATAGGATGCGAGTGTCACGGACCGCCTGGAGCTATACTGCCTCGAGGCTTTGAAGTCATTAGATCCATTGAGGCTGATCTCTGTGTGGAAATCTTGTCTTTCTCAGTGAGTGCTCTCAGAGAGTGTCTAGTTGGCTGCGGAAGTTCCGCAGTGTCGCCAGCTCTCCCTACGTCTGAAAGAAGTCAGAGGAAAGGGAGGAAGCTGAAGATAATGTATTTGTGCCAACCACGAGTGGAATCGGAATGCTGTTCAGTAATATTTTGTGATTAACAAAACAGTTGTTCTGATTGGCTGCGCCACGTTCAAAGCTGTTGTGGCAAAATTACACACATCCGTTCATGCAATTGAATATTTTTTAACTGTAGACATGTTTTCCTTAAAAACACAAAGTTATTTAATATATCTTTCTGTTAAGTCTGTTGTTTTAATCTGGAAATACTGGCCTAGAGTTATCAAATATCTCAAATATATAAATTATAGTCTAAATTTGGTTAGCAGTCTAATACCAACATAGTATTTGGAACACTATGAATATCTATGGTTTGCTGAATGTAGGTGTCTTTTGTGTCCAGTACTTTCATAACAGCAACGAGCCACACAGAAATGTTACGTGCAGCATGTGATTGTACTACCTAACACTACAAACGCTACGTTTTTAGCTTAGCGACTAACAAAATCAGAGCATATTGAATTTCTCAACATTGTTCTCCGGATGTTATCTTTAGCAGACCTGACTGAGAGTTAGTCGAGCACAAGACATGAAATGTGTCCTTACTGTAAGTAATGCAGTGTTACTCGTGATTAAATCACTAAAATGTTTATCTGTGATTTGATTCAAGGTATAAGAGGACTCCTGAGCTAACCAACTGTTAAACAACAACATCCAGCAAGCTAACATTAGCTAACTTTTCAACCATTCAAATTTGGGGAAAATTTGTTATATTTGAGCTCAAATTGTCGGCTCAAATTCAAAAATTCCTCTTACTGTACTTGCTGCATGTCCTGCTGCCATTTCAATAATCTAGGTCACGGCTGTTCTTTTAGCTAACGCAAATGCAACTAACGTTAGCTTAACGCTAGCTTGTCAATCAAGTGATGCAGTGGAGGCACATCGAAATGTTTATTGTCGACATTTTAGTTTATTTCAAAAAAGTGTTTTTATGTGAATTTGAACAAATTCCGCGTTAGTTCAAATTTGTTATTTGTGAAAAGTGATAGCCCCAATCCGACCAAGTATGATAGATTGTGGCAAAACACCTGAGAGAGCGGGAGACGGATGGATTCCACTTTTCATCTGTATTTAAAAAAAGGAATGTGCTTTCTGACTCACTTTCATTTTAGAATCTTCTTGTTTGTTGGAGGAGTGATCAAGACGGTTGGGAATACAGTCTGTTACTGACAACCTGTTCAAAAATTGGCCAATCCTGCTGTGGCTCCTGTGCGAAAAGGTCAAAACAACAGAGCGTGTAGTGTTACACTAAAGTGAAAACAGGTTAGGTTCTCAGACGCATCTCAACCAGCACAAATGGAAAAAAACTTAAGCCACCCACTGCTCTCATTTTGACAGTTATAAACACATGTATGCGCCCAATCCTACACATACTCACACTCTCCGACACACACACACACACACACACACACACACACACACACACACACACACTGATATGCTCGACCAGCCTGCCTGCCTCTGTCCTCATGCCATTGTCTTTATTAGGGGATACTGAGGAGCGGGGCAGATTTTCCAGATCCCTTGCGGGCAAATCGTCTATCAAGGCAGACCATTTCCAGCAAGCCCTTGGCCCCCCGCCACCCAAATGAAGACCACATTTCTGCAGCAGCGCTAAACTGTCTGTCTGCATCTGCCGTCTAGAAAGGGAAGCGCAGTCTGTTTAGGGGCGAAGATTTGGATCTCGGCACACTTCAGAAAGAGCTGTGTGGGCTGCAGTGCTCACATCCTGTCTGTGACGTGACTGACATCACTGCAATGTATGAGGATGACTTCAAAACCCCAGGTAACAGGTAGCAGCTCGGGAGCACAGCACTCAAACCCTTGAGCCGCAGCCGAGTGCGAGGACACCCACAAGGCCGGCCACCTGCTGCCTGTCTGTCGAGCCCTTAGACGTGGAGAGACAGATTTGATTCTTATCAATACTAAGCACCTACGCAGCCAAACGACTGACGCTGCCTGATGGGTTATCAGCGGCTGCTATTTTCCTCATTCATCACGAGCTAATGCTCTCGGTTTCTCCGTCTCGACGGAAACTATTTAGCTGCTCTCCCACGGAGTGCCCTCGGTGATGTGTTAGGGGCCGGGATATTATTGATATGCTATGAATGGAAATCAATAATAACCGAACACTAATTCATCAAGATTACAAATATTAAGTGGCCAGCACCCGCTGCACACACAGCTGTGGCAGCCACACAAAAAGCCCTTGTAGCCTAGCAACAGCTTCTCCATAACAAGACCACTTTATTTCTAGGTATGTCGGACCAGAGAGCACTGATACTGTACGTGGGCCGTGAAAAACCTCCATTACTCCCAACATGGTCAACACAAGCACAGTCTATTTCAACATAAAACTCAAAAATAGAATTGTGTGTTTTGAGCAAAGCCAACGCAAATTTAAAAACTCAGAATCCCTTGTAGGGATAATTAACTTCTTCTGTGTGATAAATCCATATTGAGTGACAGACCCGACACAGAGGTGACAGAGAGCACTGCGAGAGAAACGGCGGAGGAAGAGATGGAGCTGTGATAAGCGTTTTGCAGAGGAAGAGCACAGTTGTGTTTGTCCGTGCGCACAAGAGAGAGTGTGTTTGTGAAGAAGAAGAAGAAGGGTATGGGGACGACGAAGGGAAGTTGAGGGACGTGAAGGGGCAGGGACGGACTGAGATAGATAAGATTTTGATTTTCCCGTGTGACCCTCCTCCCCGGAGCAGCGGCTACATCTGCGCAATCATCCCGCCAGCCAGAACAGATCCCACCCCCCCCCCCTCCCCCCGATGCATTCCTGCTCCAGCTGTGGCTCTCCTCCTCTCCTCGGTCCCTCTCCCCTTCCTGCTAACTACCATGCTCTCCGACCACTCCTCTTAGTCCCCCCCAACACTCTCTCTCTCACTCACTCGTGTAGGCCTGGGAGTAATTACGAAGCCCATTGCCAGGAGGAGGAAAGGCGGAAAGGAAAGCAGGAAAAAAAAGAAAGAAAAAGGAGAATTGTCTGGAAAACAACTGCTCTCTTACCCCTTGTTCCGATTCCAGGGGCTCAGCTTTGACTCGGACTGCAGGCATTCCGTCAAGCATTAACATCCTGTTTCTTAGGCTGCCTGCAAAAGGAAACAGAGGAGGTGTAAGACGGGTGTTTTAGCATGACTAAGCAGGTCTTGTTGTTCACACATGGACATCCACGGTGTTGTGCCTGCACCCAATGGGAGATAAACACACTTTAAATAGACACAAATTTATGTTTTTTAAAGCCGCCAGAAGCTGACAGACAAAAGGTGCACACGAACTGTGTGAACTCAGCCGGTGCACAGCGTGACTCCCTCCTCTCCATGATGACGATTTTCAATTGCCTGGTGGGCTGCTGCAGGGCTACTACGCTTTAATAACACTGACTAGAAATCCTCTTAAGGCTTCAATGGAATACAAATACTTGCTTTGATATACTGTTAATCAGCCACACAACGTGTCCTCTCCAACCACTGACAAGTTAAATAACCGATACTCGGAAATAGAACAACAATATTTCATACTCATGATAATATGTGTGATATTAATATGATCGCACTGACACACATGAAAACACACACCCTTGCCCCCCCCCCCCCCCCTCGGAGCACTGTGCCTCTGCAAAGCAGGCAGTGGTGTCAGGCTCCTCAGCTCCGTGCTGTGGCTTTAAGAGGGGATACTCAGACGGAGCCAATGACAACAATGCATGTTCCGTATCCCCCCCCCCAGTTGGGGCCGACCTGAGGTAACCCTTCCTCTTATTATTTTAGCAGCAGTGGATGGAGGAATGCAAGCAAGGCAAATCGACTCTAAACATCTCTATTACTCTCCACGGCTGGCACCAGCAGCAGGATGTGTGGCCCGGTCCTTGCAAACTATTCTGACCACCTCAGCTCTAACATCCATGTGGCTGGTCCAGTAATCAAGATTTAATTTTTTTTTTTACTCACCAGAAGATCCACTCAAGATAGTTATGAAAAACATGTCTTTTTACTGATTTCAATAAGAACTGCAAAAGAAATAGATCATTGAAAGCCAGGTATTGTTCCAGCAGCTCCTAGACTCTGAAGCGAAAGGCTCATCCTGACTGCGCTTGTGTGCAAGGGAGCTTTTCCAAAGAGGGAGGATTTGCTCTCTCCCCCCCCCCCCCCCCCCCCCCAGATCTCGCCTCACAGGTCTAAGTCCCTCAGGTACCCTGGCTATGCTGCTATTGTATTGTTGTCCAGGATGTCCTTCGGCTTCAGGTCTTGGTAGGCCCAGATAGCGTTGCCATGGCAACGGCTGGGCGGTTGCAGCCTCGGTCCAGCCTCGAGCCATGTGTTTGAGGAGAGGAAGAGAGAGGAGGCAGAAAGGGAGGTTTTGTTTCTCCTCAAAGATGACCACCATTGTGGTAGAGGCTTTTTCTCCTTCTCAGAGAAAATAACTATATATGTTTTTAGGAAGGAGATTTTCTCAGGGGGCGCATTTCACTTTTTCAACAGGTTCTTTTTCTGAGCCTCAGAAAAGTTTTACCTTATCCAAACTTATTTGTTCGCTACGCTTAAAGCATGCACTCTTGTTACTGTAAGTACAAAAAAATAAAAACACCTTTTCACAGCTTGTCAAAGTTGCACATTTCTCGAGAGCAACCACCTTTTTTTTCTCCAATGTGCACAGCCCAGCTAATCCAGTGGTGTGTGACATCACCTTACTAATGAACTGGCCGGCAGCGGGCTGTTCATAGCAAAATCAATGGCCGTTGCATACGTCTGCACGTGACTGTAATGACCAAAGAGCTAACAGCGGTGGGAGAGAGCCCAACACTGAGTAATGACCTAACAGGGGGGGGGGGGGGGGGCTCTGCTCATTGAAGAACACTTTGACCGAAGTCAACTGCTTTCGCTCCCGTGGAAGGAGCGCGTCGGCCAGTTAGCGCCTCAGGATCACACACCAAAAAAGATTTTTTTTTTTAAAAACAGTGATTGAGCTTGAAATGAGGAGAATTTGTTCAAGGTAATAAACCGACGTGCATCTAGTGTTCTCTGTCACTACATTTGGTCTGCTGTGTGGATGGCTTAGGCAACCAGCAGTGTGCTGTCCATCAGCGGTATGAGGCTCTGTGTGTGGGAGATGGAGAGAGCGAGGGGGGGGGGGGGGGGGGGGGGGAGAGGGGAGTAGGGTAGATTAAGATCACCTTTCCATTTGCTGCACTCTGAAATGAAATGGCCTTCCCAGGTGTGTGGGGGAGTTAGATGGAGAGGAAGAGGGCAGTGGAGTGTTGAGGCATCTCATATCTCTCTCTCTCTCTCTCTCTCTCCTATACCCGCCCTCCCGTCCCCATCGAAATCCCTCGAATGAAAAAAAAAAGGTAAAGGGAGCAGGTGAAGATTGAGGCCAGTCCGAGCAGCAGAAAAAAAGATACATATA